GGAGTCATTCGTCACTGTTCATGATACATTGTAGCAGAGGAACTCGGAGCTGCCTGAGAGGAACTTAGATTCGAATTTGAGGAACTTGATGGGTTCTTATTTCGTTTTCTTTTATTATTTATGTGTTATGAGTCCTTAGCTTGTTATGCTCAGTAACTAATACCTGGTGTGGATTACAAAATTTTGCAGGTTTGTAATCTGAAGTTTCATTGGCCACTTATATCTAAAGAGATGGCCTTAGCTGAAGCTGCTTATCAAAGTGTTGGAGTTTGATTGGAACAAGCTAGATGGTCAAGCCTATGACTTAAAATAAGGGTGCTACTTGGGAGGCAACCCAAGGATGTTTCTTTTCCCTATCTTTTATTGCTTTTTAGTTGTTCAATAAATTCAAGCTTTCTTATTTTGTTTCTTTATCGCATGCAAGTTCTTACATTGAGGACAATGTAGAGTTTAAGTGTGGGGGAGAGGAACATGATGAGAGCATATGTGTTTTAGGGTTTACCATCTCTAAACTTCTTGGAAAGACTAACTCTTGGGAAATACAATAAATTCTAATCTAATTGATTTTTAAGGGAAAAAAAACAGAGAGAGAAAAACTGACGTTTTTGAAGTTATGCACAACAGATTTTCGTCTTTAGAAATTGTGATAAATAACGTGTTGTTCTTGTAATTTGACTTGTAAGAAATTTGGAACACTACTTTGTTGGCTTAAGATGTGATGTTGGGAACGACCTTTGCTTATTTAATCCACCTAATCAGTACTTGGTGTTTTCTATGGTGACTTTTCATTGCTCTTGGTTACTGGAGAATTACTTGACTCTGTGAAGAAAAAAAACGAGGGAAAAATGGTTCAAAAGAAAAAAAAATTGAAAAGTGGATTAGTAATCCCAAATGTGAGGAAATTGAACCATTATAAAAGAAAAAGAGTGATTCTTGATCGGTTCCTGAGATAAAAGAGCTAAGGAAAGGCAAATTAAAAAGCTTTAAAAGCATATGGAAAAAAGCAAAGTACTGAGTACTCCATTGAGATGAATGGGTGGAAATTGCAATGACATATGAAAGGAACGGTCCATGTACTTAGTAAAATGCCTCTTGTACGAGAAAGCACCAGGGAATCAACTGAAAGACTATAATGGTCCAACTTGACTAACCTAATTCTATGGGCCAATACACTTGCACTTGAGCACCTAGATTGCTTATAAGTTGATTGTGTCATGTTTTTGAAATTGCTAGAGTATGGGAGGAAGTTGTATGCATAACTTGCTAATATAACAAATAATCTTTGTGTTCTTTATATATATGAGAAAGCTTGCTAATCTAACAAAAGTTCTGTTTTAATTTATTGTTGATAACTTATGAGTCCATGTCTTGAAAGAGAGGTTTAGTGGTATATAGATTATTTTCATTTGTATGAGTGCTTTGCTCGAGGACGATCAAAGATCTAAGTGTGGGGGAATTTGATGAGTGTCATTTCCGACACTATTTATATCTATGTTTCTTAGATTTTAGGTTAGTTTCTTTAGCATTTTAGTGTATTTATTTAGCTTTTTGGTATTTTGTGGCTTATTTATTTTTGCATGTTTTATAGGTTATTGAGTGTTTTTGGAAGATAAAATGATGAACCAAATAAAAAAGCCAATGTGAAACGCAAATGGAAGTCCCTGCGGAGGAACTTGATAAACTGACGGAGATGAAAAGAGCTTGCTAGTCTGGCTGGCCACGTTTTGTTTGTCTAGGTTCATTAAATCCACGAATTTGGGAAGTCTTGAGGAATAATTTACAAGATCTACAACAGTTGAAAAGATATATATTAAAGAGAAGAGCTTATGAATTTGTTAAGATATGGAAAGAGATATATTTTCACAATCTTATCTTATTACTTTCCTTATCTTTGAAAGATTCCAAATTATCTCTTAGCCTATTTAAAGACACGAAATTAGAGAAAAAACGGGTAGACGCTGGAGAAGGGAGGCTTCACTCCAAAACCCCTCAAGGGTTAGGAGTCATTCGTCACTGTTCGTGATACATTGCAGCGGAGGAACTCGGAGCTGCCTGAAAGGAACTCAAATCCGAATCTGAGGAACTTGATGGGTTCTTGTTTCGTTTTCTTTTCTTATCTCTGTGTTATGAGTCCTTAGCTTGTTATGCTCAGTAACTAATAGTTTGAAACCATGTATTAAGTATTTTAGACAAGTATTTTTGGTTTTAATGATTAATGCTTTAGAGTATTCTTGAATTATTTTTTCGGTCATACGAATGATGATTTCTTATAAGTAGGTGTACAACTATTTGTTTGGGTCTGATTTCTTTTGCTAATTAATACTACTAAGTCCATAATTGCTTAGGAACATTAATGAAGTAGCAAACAATTGTAGAGGAGGACGTTCCACTCTATTAATTGAAAAGTAATCCTCAATCGAGGCTAAATCACGTAAGTTCCGGAGTGTTGTGGTTGTCTTGGTTTGATGATTTCCTAGTTCATAATGCTGTCATTAGGTTAAATTCCTTGTTCGTAGTATAGGGTTATCTGTTGGTTAGGGTTAGTGAAATTTGTACAGTATATAATCATTAATAAGGGGAAACAAAGGAACTTGTTCTATAAGTCAAGCTATTCTAAAGGGTTAAGTATTATGCCCGGGATTATACATTTGCATAGTGGATTTCTATGTATAGTTGCTGAGTATCTCAAGTTCCTTTTCTGTTCTTATTCATGTTAGTTTAAGTTCCTAGTTAGATTTAGTTGTTAGTTGTTCCTTATCCTTAAACTATCCCTAATCGTTTCTTTTACTGTTTTGAGTCTTAGTTAAGTGTTTTAGATCTTATTCTTAGTTATTTGCAAGCACATTCTTCGTGGGATCGACCCCTACTTCCGCTAATTACAAGTTAGTAGTTTTAGGGTAATTTTTATTAATTTGTGTGCGTTTTGGCACCGCATCAATATCTACTTTCCAATTATGTTAAAATTAGGTTAAAATCTATTATGGATAAAAAGATATGGCCGTTTGAGTGCAAGGGTGTCATTTTTAGGGCTCTGTTTAGTATTTTGATGATAATGTCTTCGTTTTAACTTGGAATTGGGCTTATAATATGCCATTTGAAAGCTTTTGAAAGGGCTACCCGTCTGTATAGGCCATGAATGGATATTAGGTGGTTAATTATTCTTATTGGATCAGTTTTTCAACAATGTAAGATCCATTTGATCCAATCATTGCATTTGACGCATTTAAGTCCATTATTAATCAAGATTAAACATGTATGAACACGTTTTAGGCCTAATTAGTAATCAGACTAGGTTCTAAGATAATTTGGTCTCAAATACGGGTTCTAATTTACTTCATAATGCATTTCAGTCCATAAACACTTCAACTTTGATAGCATGAAGAACGAATTTTCGTAACATCATCGCACTTCCCGTCGGGACAGGAGGTCAAAAGTAGGTGTCTACATCGTGCATGGGGTTTTATATTTAACCATGAATTCTACAAGGGGTATAACATTACACGATAATGTACTTTCTATTTCTTTATAATTATGCACAAGAATTCCGTCACTCATAAGTGACACTAGGGGGCACTGGCTAGGTTAGCTCCCAAGTGAGGGGTCCTGGAGTATTAAGATCTCTAATGCCCAGCTTTTATAGAAAAAACTCGTACTACGCCTTTATCAAGGCCTTTGTGAAAATATTAGTTAATTGCACCCTCGTGGTAATGTACGAAGGGTGACACTCTCTTTGATCACATCTCGAGTAAAAACACAATTTGATTCATATGTTTTGTCCACTCATGAAACACAAGATTTTATTTGCGCAATGTGATGTGTTGACTGACTATCACAAATCATACTGCAACCTAATTATGCTCCAATCCCAAGTCTTGCAATAATTCCTTTAACCACTTCGACTTACAAGTAAGTCAATGTCACCATTGACCTATACTCTGCCTCTGCAGACCAATGACAAACCATTAATTGCTTCTTAGTCTCCCAGGATACCGATAAAAAACCAAGTAACACAAACCACCTAGTCAATGGACAACTTGCCTAGTCTGAGCCCTCTAATTTCAGTGCACTATCAGAATGTAGTACTAGGGCAATTTTTCAAGTATCTTACCACTCTCAAAGTTGTTTCCCAATGTTCCTCTTGCGGAGAGCTTGCATAAATTGTAATAAAATATGCACAAAATAAGCCAAGACTGACCAAGTGACAGCCAAATAAATATATAAAGCAACCAATCAATCTCCTGTATATTTCTCACCATCAACTAGCATATTCTTCCTTACCAAAGCTAGTTTATGATTACGCTCCATAGGAAAGCTAGTTTTGCACCCAATAATCCTGCTTCTAAATAGTATCCAAGGCATAGTTACGTTGACAAACGTAAAAACCATGCATGCTACACGCCACCTCTAAACCCAAAAAATATTTCAAAGCACCCAAGTCCTTCACATTAAAGCATTTATTCAAATATGCTCTGAAACACTCTAAAGCAAACTTATTATTCCCTGCAATAATCATACCATCTACATAAATTAAAAATAAGTACAGTTAACTGTAATGCACCCTTCAAAAGAGTAAACAAGGAATAATCGAAATACGAACGTTTAAAACCATATCTTTTCAAAGTTGTAGATAATATTTCAAACTAGCGTTTCATACCAAAAAATGGATTTCTCATCCTGCAAACTGTGCTAGTATTATTCTTTTTAAATTCAGGAGGTATTTTCATGTATATTTCTTTATCTAAATCTTCATATGAAAATCATTGTGTATATCTATCTGATATACCTTTCTATTCTTCACAGCTGCAATTGCTAGAAAGGTACAAATAATTGCCATTTTAGCTATGTATTTTTTTAGGAATTGTTCTTCTTTCGCTAATTAGCTTAGTCATCATGACTATTGTTTTTCAAACTACATAACCCCTAAAGTGCATGAAAACTCGCCTTTGCAAAGAAGAATAATACATCAATATCCGAAAAAATCAGGAGATAATACATCATATGATAATATGACAAACATTGAAACAACGATTTCATATAGTTTTATTGTATAAGTAATAACATTAGTCCAACAAGACAAGTATTTCAGCCACTAATTGGCTGAGTTACAAATCATCATTCCCTCTTCATAGCCTTCAAGAAATTATTAAACACATTACTTAGTTGCCATTACACATGCATGCTTATATTATTGGAAATAAACATATATCTTTAGATTGGCAGCACGCCAAAATCACACAAAATACTATTAATAAGGTGGCTTAGCTTCATTAGGCCTCAATTCAACCCTCATACGGAACACCAGGAACAAACTCCGGTCCAACGCCATAGTCCTCATGGCAACAGATGAAGGAGTGGTAGCTTTTCATGTGGCGACGACAGTCAGGGCAGAGCATACTCTTAGGAACCTTCACATTAGATGGGAATTCAATCTTGTGGCATGGAAATTCCTTTCGATGGAGTTCGTTATAATGATATCCGAATCCTAAATGGAATCCCTCTTCTTCAGCTTTCTTCTTCCAGAGCTCGAGCTCTTGAAGGGTAACAAGGGTAAGTTTTCCATGTCCATGGACTATGATTTTTGATCCTTTAGCAAGAATAGCCCACCCGCCGTGGGACTTATCATGACTATGCAGCCTTTGGACCTCTTGAAGTATGTTATCGCCGTGGTCATGGACTTTCCCTAGCTGTATCTTCGAGTATATCATGCACTCGATCCTTGTCCAAAAGTACCAAACAAATGTTAGGTCTTGCCAACAATGGCTCAGCTGTTCAGTCAATATAGCATCCATTACCCTCCGCACCAGTTTTTCGTTGTGGCTTCTCCCCACATACACCATCTCCACTGAAACTTGCAAAGCTCGTGCAACTGCGTGTGCCTCCCTTGTGAACTTACGGATCCATTCAAGGTCATCCCCTCCATACACAAAAATGTACTTATCTTCTCGAATCTGTTCACACAAATTAGAATACTTTAAGTTCAAACTTTATTTGATAGAAACAAAAACAAATGTGAACACAATAACTTAGTTACTAAACATGTATGGGTTAAAAAACAAACAAATTTTGTCAAAGCTATGGTTTGGTATCGCTGCGATTTTCTGTTTTTTGATTTTTTTTTTGTTTTATATTTTTTAAAATCGTATGATATATGTCATATAATAAATCAAAAATTACTCAAATGTATTTAAATCATGATAATTTTGAAAACCTACCAAAAAAAAAAAGTGAAAAAAACCTTCTTATTTACTGTTTTTGGTTTTTAATTTTCAAAAGATCAAAAAACTGAAAATAAAAAACAATGCCAAACATCATTGTTCATTTAGAAGCCAAACTAAGTAGAATGTTAAGTGTATTTACCCAGTCCAAAATCTTTGAATCGATGCCATTAACCAAGAGCTCAAGCCTCCAAGTCTCCTGAGCCCAAAGATTCTCCTCCCTTATGCTTGTAAAGGGAAAAGCTTGGCTTTGCCAAATCCACATCATGTGGATAGCATTTGGGCTAACAACTTTCCCTAGAGGATCCAACACCACAAGGATAGGCCTACCTCGAAAGTGCCAATCTTCTCTGATGAACTTGATGACTGCACTTCCGATCATTGAAGGATGGTGAACGGAGTACCAGGGCATCGAAGTCTTCAAGTTCTCAAACTTAGCGTGCATAGCATCTGTCCACTGGTGTGGATGATCTACCACCGGGATCCATACAATGTCGTATGAGTGCACCTTCGAATCCGTGTAGCTTTGCTCAAGCATAAACAGCTCTCCTGGTTTGATGTCCAGGTCTGATATGAGAAGCAGCACATTTTTCCTCCTTAACACTTCAAGATGGACCTGAGAATTGTCCAGTGAAGCAAACAAGCTCGGATCATCACAAATCAAATAAAAGAAATACATATATATATATATATATATATATATATATATATATATATATATATATATATATTATGATCATTATTAGGAGCTGGCAATTAAAACGAAATGATGACTTCATCACTAACCCTTGTCTTCGATGGACCATCAAACAGTTGAGGATCCTCATTTTCGGCATAGATGAGGACATTTAAGACTTTCATGTTGTCAACATGAATTGTCTCGTAGATAATTTTTTTTATCATATTATAAGCATCAATGTCTCTCTTCTCCCCTGCATCAAATTTCAGTGCCCTCAATTAGAGCTTTGGTAACATCACAATATATACATAAAATTGTTGCGCTTTTATTAAGTCTCAATGTGCATGAAAGAATTGTAATGATGGTAAATGTTCACTGACTTATGAGCTGATACACCCTAGACAGTGTTTCCCTGAGATGTTCGCTAATGGTTTTAAGCTTGTGAGCCCAGTTGGAGAGCTCCCATGACTCAGATGTAGCTGCTCCATGTCTGAAAAATCCATGAATACACGATTATTATTTCTTGTAATGAATTTATTCAACTTTGCATAAGCTTAATATGAAGATATTAACTTGTGATCATTTTACTTACTCGAGTCCCCTGCTAGACAAAGTAGTAATGTGCGTAGCAGCAGCAGCAGCACTTCTGACAATCCAATAAACAGCAATTGGAAAATGATGAATTGCAGCCTTGACTTCCGGATCCTCAGGTGAGATGTATGTAGAAGGCAACTCTCCAAACTCTACAATGCACCTGGTTGTTTCGAGCATTGCTTTTATAAGATTATTAGTTGCATCGAACTGATGCCTAAATGCTCCTCCTTTTTCCATAACCATTGGCAACCGCTTGATAAGCGCCATGGCTTTTCCTAGGGCATTTGTAGAGTAAATTTGAACAAGAAGCCAAAAGTCTCCATAAGTCAATGCAAATGCTGCTAGTGTCAGCACTACCTTGGCTTCCCAAGAAAAGTGTTGCAACATATTAAGCACCGCGAGGGTGGTATTGTGTGCATCAACACCACTTAGCACCTTGCAGGTCATCTGCATCAGGTATATAATATATAAACTGTCAAAAACCGTATAATTTTTGTACACTTAAATCTCGATTAACTCTAAAATCTGAGGTACAGATTACTTATTGAGCTATTTAGCTTAGTGTAATGACAAAAAAAATAAAAAATAATAAAATAAAATAAAAATAAAAATAAAAAAAAGTTGCAGTGAGGATATGTAATTACCTCACAGGAAATTCTTTCGACAATAAGTGGTAATTCAGGAACTTCTTGCAGACCATTCAGGGTATATTTACCATCCAAGGAAGCCTCTCTCTTTGAGATAATAGTACCCTGCTGCATAAATCAAAACAGAGTTTTTAGTAAGAATATGAAATACTGTAGTCTACAATTAAGATTGAATAATGCAAGTAATTTAATCACCATACCAGTGATTCCCCTTCAACAGCTTGAGTGGATCGGTCAATAATGTCCTCAACAAGACGGAGTAGTGGCCTGACATCAACGTTACGAGCATCAGGAAAATGCAGCAGCTCAACCTGCCTGACGAGAGAATGATCATCAGATGTCAGAAAAATGCCTCCTCGTTCAGTACCCCTCGATAGTAGCCCCAAGGGCTCATGACGATCAGATGGATAACGCATTCCATGCTCAGTACCTCTTGGTAGCAGAGGTCTGCCAAGGTTATCAGATGGCACAAGTGCCAGGCCAAGGTCAGTACCTTTCGATGATAAAGGTAGCCGGCCTCCCTGATCATATGCTGTTAAAGGAAGCCTGCTGCCATCATCATAAGGCAATGCTGACTTGCCAACACGTTCAGTACCTCTTGGTGGTGCTACCAGTGACCTTCGGTCATCAGATGGCAAGTACATGCCTCGCGGTTCAGCTGCAGCACCCCTAGGCAGTTGTGATCTAGCATCATCAGAAGGCAAGTACATGCCTCGCTGATCAGCAACACTCCTTGGCAGTTGTGATCTAGCATCATCAGAAGGCAAGTACACGCCTCGCTGATCAGCAGCAGTCCTTGACGCTGGTGTCAAGGACGATGACAGTGGAGTTGAAAGATTGGAGGTCAGAGGGTTGTTGGCCATAGTGCTTAAAAAGCACGGTACCCTTTTCTTTTGTGTTTGAAATGAATAAATCAGGCTAAAGTTGTTGTGTGTTTCATGGTATGTTATTGACCCTTTATATAGCATTCGAAAAGGAATAAAGCGATCTGAATCAACTTCCTTACTTCCATTGATAAACATTATCAAACTTGAGTAGTTAAGTGGAAGCCTTGTATTGAAGGTCCCATTCATATTTAGCTTTCACTTTTTTTTGCTGTAGGAAAGGTAGATATGTTCTGAGTTACTTGAATAAGATCTTAACAAGAATATTGGACATAGCCTTAATAGGAAACAATTCTCGAAAATGACCCTTGCTACAAATTAAATTAACAGCATCTAATCCAGGACAATTTTAATCATCATTAAAAAAAAAAAAAAAAAAAAAAAAAAAAAAAAAAAAAAATCACGCCATAACTCAATTTGATATCAACTAGTGTTTGATCAAAGTTCGTATGTTTTGACCATTAAAGTCCAGCTGGGTTTATTATTAGGAGTGCAATGTGGAAGGGGTAGCTTAGTTTGTGAAGTCTAATGATTTCGGCCTTCTTTTGCAATAATGAAGCAAATTTATTTGATAACATTGAATCTAATTAAGTTAATCCTTAGATGCTATTAAAAGGTATACTTTCTAATCCATAATTAAACACAATAATCTAAATTTAAATTCTAAACATTGAATAATAATTGGTGTTATGTTATTGGGTAAGACAATGATAAATTAATCGTAAGATAAAAGTATTGTAAAAAGGCATAAACTAAGTTCTAGGTTTATTTATTTGCTACTTTACTTGTTTTATCTTATTTGCTGCTCTTTTGCACCCAAAATTTTCTTTACTCAGTTAAGAAGACATATTAAAGTAACAAGAACAGACAAAAAAGAAATATTTCATTCCTTGCTTCTTTTCCCAAGCTACAAAAAGAATCTTAAATTCTGAATTCTAGTTCACTATACATGGTAATGATAACATGAATAATCAAACATTATCCAAATTAATATTTTTGACAAGTAATTTTTTTTTTTTTTGAACGGTTTGACTAGTAGTTAGTAACTAAGAAAGTTGCTGAAATCATGTGATTAATTAATAAATTATGTAAATTTTAACAAATGATGTCAATAATTATTACGTAGCCAAATTCACGTGTTACGAGAATGTGCTTTACTCTTCTTTATGAGTCAGTCAAGGGGAGAATAAAAAATAACAGTATAAAGATAAACTTCATCAGCACAAAGGGCATACATCTAAATTTCTACAACCTAAATGATAAGCATAGTAAAACTTACTCATAATTAGACCCTGTTCATTTCATCTTATTATTATTGATGAACTGAAATTATTTTTATTGAGGTGAAATTAGTTTTGTTAAATTTAAATTAATTTTATTGAACTGAAATTATTTTCGCTAAACTGAAATTACTTTTACATTCTCTGTTATATTTTTTCTTTAAAGTTACTGATTTTTACTAAACTGAAATTATTTTTACTGATCTGAACTTATTTTTACTAAATTAAAATTTTTTTTACTGACAACTGAAATTATTTTTACTTAATATTTTTTTTTAAGGTGAAGTAAATAGGGCCGTATTCGTTTTATATATGAAGAGAGGTACAGAGGAGTTATAAATTATAAAAGTCTTCTATATGAAGATTAAAACCTAACCTATGTGGAAACAAAATTACTATTAGCGACAACTTTGTTAGTTTGCATGCGTTGGCTTAAAACTGCAACATTATATAAACAGTTATATAGTTAGCTTTGTGATAGAAATGATGAGTGGTGACAGTGCCAAAATGTTGAATAACCCATGCCTAGTTGACCAATAAAGAATTTCGACCCAATAAGACCCTTTATCTTTCCTTTGGCAACAAAAATAAAAATACAAAAGATAGAGAAACCATGGTTAAAAGATTGACGAGCTATATTATTTGCAAGATGATATTTCATAACAACACCAACAAAGAACTAGATGATTGACCTAATCATTATTAAAATTTATTTAAATTGTGTTTTTTTTTTTCAAAGAAACTCTCAGATTATTATGCCAGGACTGCCACTACCCAAGGATGATTTTTGGAGTATACAACTTGAGTCAGCAGCCACGTCAGCATAATGAATCAACAAAGTTAGCAAGTTATAGCTCAACCATCAGTTAGTAATTCTGTTAGAAAAAGTTGTTATTGCATAACAGAATCATGTAACTAATTCTAGTATAAATATGGTCTTTCTACTGTAATATTTTCATTCAATCAACAACAAACTTCTAACTTCTTCTCCAAGTTTCTTTTTTTCTCTATTTTTTCATAAGCTTTTTTGGAAAATTATTTTAGAATGAAGTTTGATTGATTAACTTCAACATGGTATCAGAGAAGAATTTTGCTCGAATCTGATCTAAATTCCACTTTCTAAGCTCTAGATTTCTCTTTCTTCTTACTTATTGCTGAAAATTGAACGAAGTTCTTCATATCTTCTTGTTTTTAGCTTGACTTTTTTGGAAATGGCACTCGAAATGATGAAAATGCAGAATTGATCCATCACAGAATCCAAATTATGTATACTTCTTGAGCAATTCTAATCTTACAACAACAAAATTAGTGAATATAGTGTTTGATGGAACTAGCTTCAATGATTGGAAGCGATCTATGACAATTACATTGTCAGCTAAAAACAAATTATGCTTCGTTGATGGAAGCTTGAATCAACCTTCAAACAACTAAGCAAATTTCAAAATCTGGACCAGATGTAATAATTTGGTGATTCCTGGTTCCTGAATTCACTTGATCCTTCAATTTCTCGTAGTGTTCTATACTTGAAGACAGCAAGGCAAATTTGACTAGATCTAGATGAGAGATTCAGTCAATCTTCTGGTCCTCAATTGTTCTTAGTACAACATCAATTAGCAAACATTTCTCAAACTGAAACTGAAGGTATTCCTTAATTTTTTACTCGAATTAAGCAACTATGGGATCAATATAATTATATGGGTTAGATCTTCTACTTGCTTGTGTGTGCACTGGCTGTAGTTGTACTTTGACACAACAGCTACTTAAGTCTCAGCAAAATCAGAGACTAATTCACTTTTTGATGAAAGTACTATACATGACAAGCATTCCACACACAAAGATTACTATTCTGATGATGAATCCTTTGCCAATTGTGCCAAAGGCTTATGGATTATTGCTTCAGGATGAGACTCATATGAACTTGAGTAATATCAAGAATTAGCACAATCTGGAAACAGTAGCATTCTATGCAAAGAAATTCAATGATAGCAAGAATTAGTTCAATGATAGCAAGTTATAGTAGTCTAATTTTGGAGGATCAAACACAAGAAACTTTGTTTACACTAGGAACAAGCTATATGTGATTATTGCAAGATGAGAAATCACACAAGAGAAAAGTGTTTAAGACTGCATGGATTTCCTTCTGATTTCAAGAACAAAGGAAAAATAGTTGCAGCTTCAGCACAGCTAGATGATTCTGGCATTTCTGAGTTTGGAGATCTGGTTAACATGTCAGTTACTCAAGAACAACACAAGCAAATCCTGCACTATTTGGACAAACAACAATCTGCTGAGCAAGGTGAACTCTCTGGAGGTTTAAGTTCCCTTGGCTTAGCAGCAACTTCTCACTTAGCAGGTAACTTCTGTTTAGCTTCATGATTAATTCCTAAATGGATTCTAGACAGTGGAGCATCTGATCACATGTGTGCTAATATTTCAATGTTCCAATCTTACTCAAAGATGTTAAAACCTGATCGTTTTATAACAATACCAGATGGAAAGAAATTAAAAGTTGAACACACATGAACAATCATACTCAAATCAGGCATTACACTTAGTAATGTCCTGCATGTTCCTGGTTTTCAATTTAACTTGATTTCAATATCAAAACTCTGCAAAGATATTTCATGCTCATTAGTGTCATTTACTAATGATACATAAGGGCCTTCTTTGATGAGTCCAATAGTGCTTGGTAAATTGGACAAAGGATTATACAGACTTAGTGAAGACCATTTGAGTTTAAATGATGCTATTAATCTTAGGAATTATTGTCTTGTAGCAGTTGAAGAAGCCAAACTTTGGCACCTTCGTTTAGGACATATGTCTTTTGACAAAATAAAGTCAATCAAAGGTACTGATGTACAGGGTTGCTTAGCTGAAAACTTGTGTCAAGTTTGTTCATTAGCTAAACAGTCTAGGTTTTCTTTTCCAACTAGTTCAATAAAGACATGTAAGCCTTTTGAGCTCATTCACATAGATGTTTGGGGTCCTTACACTCATGCCACATATACTGGTTGCAACCAGTTTCTCAGAATTATAGATGACTATTCAAGAATGACTTGGATTCATTTTATGAAGAATAAAGTGACTCAGTTTCTATTATGACTCAAATTCTGTTCTATGTCAATACTTAGTTTTCTTCCAAGGTTTTAACTATTAGGTCAGACAATGCTCTTGATCTTACAGAAGGAAGTATGAAACAATTGTTTCTGCAGCATGGTACTTGGCAACAAAAGTCTTGCAGTGACACACCACAACCAAATGGAGTGGTGGAAAGAAAGCACAAGCTTCTTTTGAAAACTAGAATAGCCTTGTACATTCAATCTAGGGTACCAGCTCGGTTTTGGGGAAAGTTTATATTAGCAGCTGCTTATTTGATCAATAGGATGCCACTAAAATCCATTGGTTCAATCACACCTTATGAGAAATTGTATGGTTCGCTCCTACTCTTTCACATCTTAAAGTCTTTGGATGTCTTTGTTATGTTTCAACATCCAAAATTCATAGAACAAAATTTGATCCTAGAGCCACACCATGTGTTTTCCTAGGATATCCTCCAAATCAAAAGGCGTACAAAGCTCTAAATCTTGCCACAAACAAAATTTTGATTTCTAGAGACATTATATTTTATGAAAAACACTTTCCATTCCATTTTTCTCCCTCTCCTAACAAAACTTATGCCAACAAATTTTTTCTTCCTGTCATCACATCTATTTCAGACACTTTCTTAGATATTCCTGAAATTTTCTCAAATGACGGTAATCTTAATGATACTATTTTTATTCCTATATTAGATGAATCACATGATTGTGATCACATTTCCTGTTCCTCATGATAACATTCCTACAACCACATCTGACATTCCTGCTGAAAATGTTCCTATTTCAAGTAGACAATCATCTATAGTCAGCAGAGCACCCTCTCATTTTTCAGACTATCATTGTTATGCTATCACTGATCATTGGTGTAAACTAGTCTCTTTTGACTCTCTCCCTGAACAACAGCAATTGGCAATTTATGTCAAACCAATCACTTGTTGAACCAACAAGTTTTTCAGAAGCTGCTACAGATCCATCATGGGTTAATGCTATGGATAAAGAGATATCTACACTTATTAAGAACAATACATGGGATATTGTTATGCTTCCCAAAGGAAAGAAAGCAATAGGATGCAAGTGGGTGTACAGAATCAAGAAGAATGCTGATGACAGCATAGAAAGATACAAGGCAAGGCTAGTTGCAAAGAGATTTACACAAAAATATGGAGTTGATTGTGAGGAGACTTTCTCTCTAGTTGTCAAGATGTCAACAGTTAGATGTTTGATTTTTCTTGCTGCAAAGAATGACTGGAAATTGTTTCAACTTGACATCAATAATGCTTTCTTACATGGAACTCTCAATGAAGAGGTTTACAAGAAGATTCCAGAAGATGTTTATGCTCCTACAGGACATGTTTGCAGACTTAAAAAGTCCCTATATGGCCTCAAACAGGCATCTACGTAATGGTTTGCCAAATTGGTTGAAGAGCTGAAATTTCAAGGTTTTACTCAGTCAAAGAATGACTATTCCTTATTTCTGAAGAGAGATAGCATTGACATAACAATTGTTGCAGTTATGTTGATGATATAATCATAACATGCTCAAATGATTAGTTAATTTCTGATCTGAAAGATCACTTGAACAAGATTTTCAGTATTAAAGACTTGGGGCATCTGAACTATTTTCTTGGCATTGAAGTGAGCAAGTGTGACAATGGTTATGTCTTATCCCAGAGAAAATTCACAAAAAAAAAAAGGCTTCTTCAAGATTGTGAGCTCGATATTTCAAAGCCTGTCAACTCTCCCATTCCTTCTACTCTGAAGCTTCATTCTTATCAGGGTGATTTATATGATAATGCCGCTCTATATAGATGTTATGTTGGGAAATTGAATTTTCTAAAAAATATAAGGCATGTTCTTGCATTTGTTGTTCAAACTTTGAGCCAGTTTATGCAATCTCCAAGGATTCCACATGTTCAAGCTCTACAGCACACTTTAGGATATGTTGTAAACACTATTGGTCAGGGAATTTTGCTCAAGGCAACTGATCAACTCTCTCTTCAAGCTTTTTGTGACTCTGATTGGGCTGCTTGCCCATCTTCCAAAAAATCAGAACTGGCTATGTCTTACTTCTTGGAAATTCTCCTATCTCTTGGAAATCCAAGAAGCAAAGTACAATTTCCAAAAGCTCAACTGAGGCTGAATATAGAGCAATGGCACATGCTGCAACTGAAGTTGCATGGATAGCCAGATTGCTTGATGAGTTAGGCATTGAGAATTTGAAGCCTGTCAAGCTATTTTGTGATAGCCAATCTGATATTCACATTGCTAAAAACCCAGTCTTTTAAAAAAGGACTAAGCACATCGAGGTGCCATTTCACTAGAGATAAAGTTCTAGAAGGTCTCATTGAACTCAGCTATATTCCTACAGGGCAACAACATGCAGTGTCTTTATTACTGAGCAACTTCCCGTTTCTCCTCAGCAGCAAGTGTTACTATCCAAACATGGCATGGTTCAATCACCACTGCCAAGTTTGAGGGGGGGGGGGGGGGGGGGGGGGGGGTGTTGGAGTATACAGCTTGAGTTAGCAGCCATGTCAGCATAATGAATCAGCAGAGTCAGCAAGTTACAACTCAGCCATCAGTTTGTTATTCTGTTAGAAAAAGTTCACTATTAGAAAACAGCCAATTTCCGACGGAAAAATTCCGTCGGAAACACCCTGAAATCCGTCGGAAAACACATTTTCGACGGAATTTTCGTCGGAACCAATTGTCGGAAGCGTTTTTATAGGAAAACGACCTTTTTCAACGGAAATTCCGTCGGAAACACTTTTTCGACGGAAGTTTTCCGACGGAATTCAGTCATCGCAAGAGATTTTTCGGCACCGAAAAAGTCCGTCGGAAATTTCTGACGGACACAATTCCGCCAAAAAGTTCCGACAGAAATTCCGTCAGAAAAAGCTAAAAAAAAAAAAAAAAAAAAAAAAACCCCAAATCAGCACCGCAACCAGCCCCAACCGCCACTACGTGACCAACTAACCTGCCTTAACCCAACAGACCCACCACCTTAACCCACCAGACCCACCACCTTAACCTATCTAACCCTAACCCACCAGACCCACCACCGTAACCCACCACCTTAACCCACCTAACCCTTAACCCAACAGACCCACCACATTAACCCACCTAACCCTAACCCACCAGACCCCACCAACCGTCACTACTAACCTCCAGGCTCGATTCGCTAAACCACCAAACCTCCAGGCCTGATTTAAACCCCAACTAACCTCCCTCCCTTCAGCCCCTATTTAAACCCCACCCACCCAAACTGAACCGAAACCAGTTCTCTACCACCACGACACCGCAACCTAAAAAAACATCAAAAAAATCCGAACACAACCCAGATCTATACCCACCACAACCTCGCTAACCCAGCCACCAAAATCCGAACTCCAACGTCCACCACCACCACCATATATTTTCAAAAACAAACCGAAAAAACATCAAATTAATTAAATCAAAATTAAGAATAAAAAAAGAGATACATACTTTAATTTGATCAAACAAGACGTCGAAATTGGGTTTAATATGGCCAAATTCGACCAATGAAAACTCTAGATCTAGAGTTTTCATGGTCGAATTTGACCTCAATAACCGTTAATTTCTAGAGAAACCACAACTCGACACCGGCGAGAGAGAAGAACAACCGTTAATAACCGTTAATTGCAAGCCCATCCCAGCAAGAAAGAAAAGAGAAGGAGAAGAGCGAGAAGGATAACAAGAGAGCGAAGGAGAAGAGTAGAAAGAGAAGGAGAAATAGCATAGAACGGAAGGAGAAGAGAAGGAGAAAGGGAGAGAAAAGAAGAAGGAGATCGAAGAGTAGAGAGAGGGAAGGAGAAGAGCAGAGAGAGGGAAGGAGAAAGAGCAGATTACGAAGGAGAAAAGGAGATGAGAAAGAGAAAGAGAAGGAGAAGAGGAGAGAAGTAAGAGAGGCGGAAATTTCAAGGGGAAAGAGAGGCGTTTTAGGGTTTGGTAAAAAGATTAATTTTTTTTAATTATATTCCGACAGACTATAAATCCGTCGGAAATTGTAAATTACGACAGAAAAATCCATCGGAAAGCACATATAATCCGACGGATTTTATTTCCGTCGGAAATTTCCGACGGATTTCCGAGGAATGGTTAAATTCGTCGGAGATATCCAACGGAACATAAATCCGTCGGAAATTTTGCTTTTTTCGACGGAATTTTGGGTCCGTTGGAATTTGCCTGTTTTCTAATAGTGGTTGTTATTGCATAACAGAATCATGTAACTAACTCTTGTATAAATATGGTCTTTCTGCTGTAATATTTTCATTCAATCAACAACAAACTTCTATCTTCTTCTCCAAGTTTCTTTTTCTCTCGATTTTTTCATAAGCTTTTCTGGAAAATTCTTCCAGAATGAAGTTCAATTGATGAACTTCAACAATGGTCATTTAAAAGTTTACAGTCATAGTTAATAAATTACTATTAGTCCTGCAATACTTAGCCATAACATTAGCAACTTTGTTCGTACTCCTAAACTAAGTTACGTTCAAATTCCTGCTTAATCCTATCTTTGAGCGAAATGAGATCCTTGCAATGTCGTACAATCATAAAGATAGTACCTCACTACCTCGTATGTTTAGACCATGAAGAATGGTACACACAGCTTATATTGAGTACAATTGTATTGTGCGGCAACCCCGGCCTTTGTGTGCTAGTAGTTGTATTCCTACATGGATTACCTTCAATTCACCCATAAAGCTTGTTCATGTGTAATATTTTCGAGTAAAAATGTGTAAAACTGCTAACACCAGTAGTGGTTTACCCTAAAATCGCTATTGGTATTGGTCTTAGAGTAAAATTGTATAAAACTGCTAACGATGTTAGCAATTTTACCAATTTTTACTCCAAAAAGGGTTTACCAAGGAGATAAAGTACAGCTCCCTCACAAGAATATGAACTGAACTATTGATGTATTAAGCTATTAGCGTAGTCAAAATATGCAAAATAACGTTTTAAATTAAATAAATAGGATAAATGATGCCATACTATACTACATTCAAAGGATAATCCATTGAGGTCTGTATGAAATATACACATGTTACAGCATATATTATACATTTAGCAGAAAGAATGAATCTTTTTCCTATATCTCATTTGTAATGTACGTATAATTATTGGCTACATGGTCGATGTGCCTGTGGGATTGTGATTCTTCGTTCAATCAATCTACAATATTTACAGCAAATACAACGCGGACATTATGTATTCCGTCGAACCAATTCAATGAGCCATAATTATAGCCTTTCTGAGCTTGTTTCCCATGGAATGAAACATTAAAAATAGCTGTAGTAGAACCCTTGTGAAAATCTATCTGCTTCGGAAATAAATTTACCTTTAACCCTTCTGGAGCTTGTACAGTGGCGGTGTATGATGCATTTGACGATCCAACATTGATAACATGCCTAGTAACTGTTTTTTCGTGATTTCGTTTCAGTTCACCTATGGAGATGGATGGATAATTTATGTTGGATATAATCGTATCTGAAGAAACCTTTGGACAACTGAACTTTGTGCTTGACATAGATCGAAGGACTTTCTCTTTATATCCACAATAACATAAGAAATGAAAGTAATCCTCTGTAGTGGTTGGGAATACGAGTCCTGGATCAAGGGCTTTGACTGGACTTATCTCCCCAGCTCCAGTTTCGTGTGGATTTGCAATGTCTCCGGAACTATTTGTTAAGCCTTTCCCGATGTTATCAGCAACAATTGCTGTAAGATATATGAGAAAGGTTATGAATTGACAGGAAAATTGTAATATAACATATAGTAATGATTATCTAGTTTGCAAGATCTATTGTTAAATATGTATTCATGTATTGTAATAAACAAGCAGGATATGTATCCAAGTATTCGCATTGTAAGAATAAGGGGAGTTGCAGCATTACCTGTTGTCATCAAAGCTGATTTAATCATGGAAGGTGTCCATTCAGGGTGTATGGACTTAATGAAAGCCGCAGCACCAGTTACATGAGGACAAGCCATGGATGTTCCGGATTTTATAGCAAATTTTGATGGCTCTTTTTCAACAGATTCTTGTCCTGGTTCAGTTTCTAGAATATTTGCTGCAAGTATTGCAACTCCAGGAGCCATAATGTCTGGCTGCAATGACATAAGAAACAGAATTTTGAATAGATATCTATTTTATTAGTATATAATATTGTGTCAAGGTACTTTCAAAAAAAAAAAATATTGTGTCAAGGTGAACCAATTGACACTTGTACTAACTTGTACCTTAAGAATATTTTCAGTGAATTCTCCAGGACCTCTTGATGAGAAATCTGCAACAGTTGGTGCTGGTTTGTATTTTTCCACAGACACGGTTGACAGGATTGTCGCTGTTGGTTCCCTGTAGTGGGCAATGGAAGTCATTTTTGTACTTTACCTTAAGGTAAGTTTTGATAGAATTTTCTAGCATCATTGAAATGTTGAGGTTTAATGAAATAATTAACATACCTCGTAGAATTAATGTACTTCAGTATCTTTAGTCCATCATCTTCTCCGACTTGTGTAAATGGGAAAGAACCTGAATCATATGGCACACCTTTTTCAACATTACTGATGTATAACAAGCCACTTGCACCTGCATCTTGTACCTCTAACATTTTGATTCGCCGTGATATACTAGGGTAATTGTTCAAACAAACCAATATTTTCCCAGCCACTTTCTTAGGATCCAGTGATCCTGGATAGCAATTGCTGCAAGGAAAAGTGAGTATTAGATATAGCAATTTTGGACTGTTCCATTAGCTCCTACATATATAGTATGTTAAACTTAGGTATTCAGGTCTGATAGACTATGCTGATATGTGACTTGTCCGAAAATGCTACTTCATGACAAATTTCTATGATTTTGGACTAAAGATTAGTTTAAAGTATCCTTACCCATGTCAAAACTCTGACAGGGGTATCACTATAACGTAATGGTGTGTATGGAGTCCCATTCAATCTGACCATACTTAATTCTGGAAATTAATGAATAAGGCTTACCTCGCTTCTGATGAAGGGGTGAACGCAGAAGCCATATCTCCTGCGAATGCTAGTGGATACTGGCTAGAGATAGTAAGATTTGACAACGTGATGCCAGACCCCTACATAGAAAATGAAATCATTTATCATGAATGCCAAACTTTCTAAGGCAATGTAGTATAATGGTGTACAAGTATTCAGACTTGTCATCTCACGTTGAAACTCGCATTGTTTCCTAAGAGCACGACTGATTCTAAATCCCTGTCAATATTGGAAGCAGCAACAGTAAATATCCACGGGGCTGTATTCACTGCTGTATATGGGTCAGGACCACTATTTCCGGCTGAGCATACCACCATAATCCCCATTTGATATGCATGAAACGCTGCAATGGCTATCGGGTCACTCAAGAAATCAGCCTGTAAAAGTAAATCCATACCCAAAGATATTGATATTATGTCAACACCATCTTTGACAGCATCATCAATAGCCTTCAATATTGTGGAACCAGAGCAATTATCTATTGTGCAGGCCTTGTAAACTGCAAGCCTAGCAGATGGTAGACCCCCTCTCGCCGTGCCTTGTGCTAATCCAAAATAACTAGCATTCATAACTTGGACTCCTGCTGCAGTTGATGCTGTATGAGTTCCATGGCTGTCGTGGTCTCGTGCTGAGTCACTTGACTTGGTGGCAGTGGAGTTGCTGTATTTTCCAAAGCCGCCTTGGAGGATGTAGTTCTTTGCTCCAATTAATTTCCTGTGAAAAATGTTTGCTTAGGATAGCACACATAGCAGCATACTATGCCCTTTAAATCCCAAAAAATCCTTGGGTTTCAGAAAATTAAGTGATAAATACAAAATGTCTAAAAAAAAACATGGGGCATGCTAAATCAGAACAGAGTGAATAAGATAAGTAAAATTCAGGTGACATAATTCCGAGTAATTACCTGTTACAATCAGACTTCTTGAAGTCGGAGCCTTCCATGCAAACTCCTTTCCATCTTGGAGGTATCTCTCCAAGACCTTCGTCGGTGAAACTTGGAGATTCAGGCCATATTCCTGAAACAGTAACACTGCTAAGCTGATTTTATGCTATATACTGTACTTACATAAGAAAATTTTGGCATCGTTTGTTGTCTTGTTACATGCTTACGAGGTGTCAAAAAAACGACCCAACAATTAACAACATAATGTGCCTTAAAATGAAATCAGCCAACTACACCCGACCAAACAATGACCCGAATTGACACTTACATCAAGTCAAAAAAAAAAAAAAAAATTATGGCTAATTTACTAAATTGTCGTTGAAATTAATTGTACACATCTAGTCTTTTATCGATTCGCACATTAATCTAAATCAAGATTATCCATATTATTATGGTGGCCCTATATAATTTGTATACCATCAAAGTGGACCTTTAATTTGAGTTGTTAGCAAGTCAATTTCATCCAGCCCCATCACTTTTATGAATCATCTAGATTTCCTAGGTAGCCAATTATATTTGTTCTTTCTTAAAGAGCTAGAAGGACAATAAAATACAAATAAATAATGTATACTATAAAAGTAGGTTTTAGGGTACATTATTTTTTAGGGAATTAATCATTGATAGCGAGAGATATCAATTCGGGTGTTTGGATTAGTTTTTGGTGAAGTCGGTTGGATCGGGTCAATTTTTAAACTTGAGTCATGTTACATTATTGTGTTCAGGCAAGTCGAAATCTGAATCGGATATTTTTCGGGTTGGTTTCGGATCGGGTCAGATCGTGTGTGATTTTGACACCTCTAGATAACGTTACATTGTTAAAAACTTACAACCGACTAAGGCCACCAATGAGAATTTTTAAAATTTTTACTCCCTCTAATCTATTTCTCAAATTTTGATTACACATTGAATCTTTGTGGAATCAATTGCAAATGAAATGTACTCCATAATACTTTGGCAATTAATATTGTGTATAAATAAGAAATTATCGATGTATATATGATCTTGTTTGATTCATCTTGATTTACATTTTTCAATTAGGAGCACCCTGCCAGCCACACTGCAGCTCCTGCCGCCGCGGCCAGTCACGCAGCCAGGCGGAGTGCCCAACCATGCAAATCAGCAACGAACCACACAAACCAAGCATCAAACGCAATGAAGGAGATCGCAACAACAACTTCAATTTAATAGCAATTTCGATCCAACAACAATTTCAATTCAATCATCAATTTTGAAGCAATACCCCCCTTTGGATAATTATGATTGGTTAATTCAGATCGTCATCGCGTCATCCAGGGGCGGAGCCATGTAGGAACAAGGGGGGACGGTTGTCCCCCCATTTTTCCAAAAAAAAATTTAATTTATGTTAGCTTAAATAAATGCTGTAAATAAGAATAAATACCTTACATGTATATCTTATATAACAAAGACAACATTTGGTCTGGTGGTTGATGGGCTTGAGTAAAGCTTGTATTTCTCTTTGATCCTAGGTTCGATTCTTTACCCGATCATTTTTTTTGTTTCTTTTTGCTATTTTTGGACTTTATTTTTATTTCATTTTATAGTTTATACAAAGTGCTCCTATTTAACTTCTTTTTCTTGTTTTTGGATTTTGCCATTTTTTTTTAACTGGTTTTTAAATTTCATTATATAGTACGTAATTTATATATACAAAGTATTATAAGTCTTCAAACCTCTAATTACTCTCATTTAACTGTTTAATCAAGTATCGCCTTGTTGATAGTGATTACTAATGTGTTATTAAACTATTTGTAATGAACACATGTCTCCGTATTTTTTTATCTCTCTAATTATGTGTGCCTAAATTCTATTTTTTTTATAACTTGTTTGGAACTAAGTTTCCAATTTTATTTTTAGTCAAAGAAAGTTTATTTATTTATTATTATTTTTTTTTTTTAAAATGTAACCCAAATCCCTTTACATCTACTATCAATTTGTGTAAATGCTTATCATTTGATAAATCATATTTATCGATTATTAAGGATTACATACCTTAAAATTGGGGTTTACCAGCATAAAAAAAAAATTTGGTTAATAAATTTCTTAATATGCAATTAATTTTTTAACAACTCCTCTTTCACCATATAAGAATAATTGTCATATCTCATAAGCGATTTCAAATATATATTAAACAATTTATGTGATCAATTTCTTTTTTCTTATAATTATTGTCGATTATTAAACATCTAAAAATTGTCCCTCCGGATTACAAATCCTGGCTCCGCCACTGGCGTCATCCACCATTACTGTCGTCATCGTCGTCTTCATCGTCTCCTCCGACGCCGCACGAAACATATTGGGTGCGGACTGCACCCAATAGTTTATGTTTTTATAATAAACTCGTACATTGAACGGGCCAAAGAGATGGTTTGTTTTAATGTTGTGTTCATCAACTTGAGTACTCTATAATCATTCACTTAATCACTTATCAACCTTTTCATATTGTTCCATTATTTCTTTTATCATATTATTGTTTAACTAATCGTCTCATTGTTGAATTGTTTATGATCATTTGCAATAATATAGGATTATACAAATGACTTGATGATAATAAATAGTATAGTTCGTTATTTATTTTATATCATAAAATTTGAGACAAAGAACATCAGAATTAACTTTTGAAACGACATGAATAATATGATAAGTGATCTGATAGAATTAACTTAAACTACTTGTATAGCTTAATGACGACTATAAGGATGACAAATTTCAGTATAAATAAGTGACTTTTGTCTATAAGCAAATAAAAAAAAAACCCTCCTTAAATTTTAACATTAAACAATTCATAGGTGAACATCAAAGATGCCGAGTTTAACCAAACATTTATATTCGTATAAGTTTCTAAACTAAATTAATAAAGAATGTTTCTAAACTAAATTAATAAAGAAATCATTAAAAAAAATAAAAAAAAGAAATGTTGAAATCAAAATATTTAGACTAATCTCTATAAGAATTTTACACTTTTTTTTTTCTAACTTTTCACCAAAGTACTCCAAAACTCAATCATGTACTTTTGCACAAAGTTTTATCTGCCCACACCGTGTGGCTGGGGTTACTTGTTTAGGGGTTATTCGGTTAGTCAAGAGTTATTCGATCAGGGGTTACTCAATAGGTCAGGGGTTATCCGATCAGTCAAGGGTTACACAATCAGTCAAGGGTTACTCAATTAAGGATTACTCGATCGATTATGGGTTACTTAGACAGTCAAGGGTTACTCGACTAGGGGTTACTCGGTCAACGTTCACCTGGTTACGGTTATTCATTTGTCATCCGAACACACGTGTAGCCAGTCATACGGAAAACACATTGTTACTTTTTTTTTTTTTTTTTTTGGCAATAACCTCCAATTAATTTTAATTTTAAGAAACCAAAATTTTCAAAGATTCATCAAAATGAATAATATAGTTTCTAAAAATAAAACAGTTGAAACAAAAGAATTAAATGAGAAGCTTAGAAATACCTGTGTCAATCATTCCAATGATGACATCAGAGGAGGGAAATCCATGCTTCTGAAATTGAAAATGAGTTCCAAGTCCAGATTGCTGATCCAAGAAATCCCAAGATCTTGTAGTGTGGAGCTCCAAACTTGGATCACGAAACACTGATATTACTTCATCATGACCTGTCTCCATTTTTTTAATAATAATATTACTATAATATTATTGCACCTCAATCAATTACATCTTACTTTACCACTTCCTACACTACACTAATCAATTATATGTGTTTTGCACACTTTTTTTAGTCAAAAGTACAAATTTACACTCACGTCTAGGAATTCTACTCGAATTCCAATCACTTCCTAATAAGAAAAAAAAAATAGATCAAATGGGTGTAAGTACCGCCATAAGTTTGGCCGTACCTCAATATCTTACCTATTTCTTTTGGTCGATCATACATTCTTTGTCAATACATAACCTTTTTTTTTCGTTGGAAATGTCAATACATAGCTTTAACTATCACTAAATTACTCCCTCCGTTCCGCAATAATATTTCTGTTTGGAATCTTTGACTTTTTAAAAATAAGAGAGAATCTTCTTAATTTCTCTCAATTTATAAGAACAAATATAGTCATGTGGGATATATTTTGATTCGTCTTGATGATTACATTATTAATATCTAACTTTTATAATTTTTGCTAAAGTGATATTAAAGATATTTGCGGTCAAAGACGAGTAAAAACTTACATCGATTTACGTAAACAGGAACATCATTATGAAATGGAGGGAGCATTTTTAGACGGAGAAAGCCCCAATTTATCTTTGTGCATGATAAATTAAAAACGTTTATGTAGTGACATTTATGTAAATAAATCAACATAAAATATGAAGCCAACATAACTCTTTTGTAATTAAATCAACATCAATGAGCCCACATTTACTAAAATGTTGTTAATTTATTTATAGGATAAACGTTTTTTCGTTTATCAGGAAACTTTTCTCTTAGACAATTTCAATAATTTTATTAGCATCAATTTTAATTTATGAACCAATAAATAAAATAAGATTAAAGTATAAAAATTAATAATGTAAACAATCGCTTGAATAAAGTTTATTGAGGTAGAATAAGTACTAGAAGTACGTTTTTTTTTTAAGTTAAGTGACTCATTTTGACCGGTAATATAAACTTGTTTGTTTGCTACTACCTCCGTTTTTTTAGTTGACACCATTTGACTTTTACATTATTCATAAACTACACTTTGACTAGCATTTATGATTAAAGCAACGATAAAACATACTCAAGTGAGTTTTTGTTTGAATCGTCTCAATGTCTATTTATTAATATCCACTTTTTATAATTTTACAATGTCAAAAATTAGAGATAATAAATTATTAAAGTAGTACGTTGGCAAATGTAATAAGCAAAAGGTATCAACTAAATAAAAACGAAGGTAGTATTTTGTCTCCATTATAACTTAACAAGTGTAACAAGTCTAAACTTATATCTAAAGAAAACAATTGAATAAGATCTCATTAGGAAGTCCTACCAAGTATTATCACACATACAAAGTACGGACTATAATATAAAGTCGTATTATTTTTCGAATTACAGACGTACTAATATATAATAAAAAATAATAATAATAATAATAATAAAGAAGGAATATAATGATAAGAATTAGATAGATTGAAGGTGAGGGAGTAGAATAAAGAAAAGTACCAGAAAGCAGAGAAGCTTCAGTGGCAGTAAGAAAGGCAGAGAATCCCCTGAATGTATGATGGTATACATGACCCACCGACATCCTCTCTCTTTCCGAACTGTATCATTTTTTTATTTGATTTAATTTTATCAAAATCATCAACATTTAGTTTCAATATTAATTCATAAATTGTAATAGAAATGATTTGATCATACCTTGGAATAACAGAAGAAAGCAATTGTAAATGAGCTGACTCAGTGATTTTCATGTCTAATTCATCTTGATCATTTGATCCACCCATGTAAACTATATAACTCTGCATTTTTGTAGTTAATCACAAATAAGGTTAGTTAATTAATTAGAAGTTTGTATAATAATCAAGAAAAATGAGATGAGATGTATATATGTGTTTCAGGAATGAATGGATTACTTGAGGGATATGATCATTGGATAATGATGATGGCGGCGATGGCGGTAGCGACGACGAAGAGGAGGAAGAGAGGAGGAGGGAGAGGGAGATGAAGAGGAGGGGAGAAGTCATGGAGGAGGAGGAAGAGTGGTGAAGTGAAGATGGAATGATGAAGTAAGAGAGAGAAGAGTATGTAGTGTTGTGTTTTCATGTAAGGAATGAAAGAGAGGGACAGAGTGTTTGTTTGTCAAAGTACTTGATTCCTTACACTCCTTAGGAAACTTGATTCTGGGGTCAGTTAAGAGAAATAAAATATCACAAATTACATAAATTTTATATTTGAGATTTTTGTTTTCTAAAAAACCAAAGACTAATTGCATTGAATGCCTTAAAGTTTTGCAATACTTGAGCACTAACTTTTTTTTTTTTTTTTTTTTTTTTTTTGTTGGTTAAACAATACTTAAGCACTTAAGCAAATGAGCTGGCCTAGGTGACTCATTTTGAGTAACAAATCTTGTTACTCAAGTGGCAGGTATTTTTTTTTTAAAAAAAAAATAAATTAAAATCAAACTCATCCTGCAGACTTCACTGCATCTTTATCATAGCCACCGTACCAACACCATTATCACAACCACCAACCAAAACCCATCAAAACCATTGCCATCTCTCCGCCTTCCTCTTCGACTCCCCTTTGTCCTCTTCTTCTTCTTCTTCTTCTTCTTCTTCTTCTTCTTCTTCTTCTTCTTCTTCTTCTTCTTCTTCTTCTTCTTCTTCTTCTTCTTCTTCTTCTTTTCTTAACAATGGCCGCGCCCCAACGCCGTTTCGGGGCAAAACAGAAAACACCCTAGTAGTAAAGAGTGTAAAGTGGGGTCATATCAACCCCTTAGGGAAAGCAATTAATTCGTGGCAACATTGTAGAAGGAGGAATAAGGAAAATTTTGGGAGCCATGGATCTACTACTAACGTGAGCTAGTTTGGTAGGAGGAGGAAGACCATATGCTGAACACAGGTCATCCAACCGGTCCCAACCAGTATTGTAATCGGTGGTTTCCTATCACCTTCCCAACCACTATCGCCGTCCTAAGTGGTGGTGATTAGAGAATTCTTCTAGATTCCAAATTCAATTTCCAGGCGAACCAAAACCCTAACATTGCAAAGATATGGGCCTAACTTACCCCCAACTTACACATCGAAATGACCTCCGTATCCCTTAAGTAACATTGATTGTAACTCAAATTGAGTAACTTATATTTTCCCTAATTGGGAGTTGAACCTTGAGTAACATTGATTGTAACTCAAATTGAGTAACTTATATTTTCCTTAATTGGGAGTTGAAAATTTTGTGGAAAACTAATAAGATGCCTATAAAAAATCAATTTTTAAAAAAAATTATTACCTCCATCCCTTTTTGATTGACCCATTTGCCCAATTTCTTGGTTAAAATAATGAATTCATTTCTTAAAAATACCCTCCAATTGGCAACAATATTTGTACAAAGTTAGTTTTCCAATGTGAATTTACCTTGTTTATGCACTTTTATTACTTTCTCGCTCTACTTTTTTGCAATCACATGTAAAATTAACTTTTCAATGTACTTTTACTATTTTTATTTTTCCATTTTTTAATTCCCGTAAAATTTGCTAAAATTGGTCAACAAAAAGGGACGGTCATAGTACCTTATAAAAAAAAATGTTGTAATAAACTATTGTAACATATAAAGCATGAAATGTTGCTTCATAAACATAAAAAAATAAAGCATGAAATGTTGAGAAAATGTAATATAGCCAGATTTGGAGAGTTTGAGCATTGACCTTTTGCTTTTGCCCCTCTTTTCTTCATTTTCCAGTTCATTTTTTTACTTCGTTTAATGTGTTACTAGCTTTATTTGCTTAAAAATATGGAAGATGGGAAAGAAAATAGCCTAATAGCTAATTTTGGGCTACTTGAACCTCAAAATTTAAACATTTATTCTTTGTTTGGATTGAAGAAAATGGAGGGAAGAGAGGGATGGGAAATTGAGGGATGGATTATCTATCATTTGAATAACAAATGAGGAAGGAAAGGAGTTGGAGGGGAGAGAAATGAAAAGATTAGTTTGTTAGAAATTAATGAGAGATTTGGAAAGAAACACATCATTCTTCCATCCTCTTCTTTCCCTTTTTTTTATGTCCAAACACACCGTTACACTATGTTTGGATAACAATAGTGAAGGGAAAGGGAGGGAAGGAAAAAGAGGGAAGGGAAAGGGAGGTGACGGGAGGGAGAAGAAGACCTTTCATTTTCCTTCCAAATCTCTCCAACAATGGAGGGATTTGATTTATTTAAAAGTGGAAGGGAAATGAATCCTTCCAATTCCCTTCCCTTCCCTTCCCTCCTTGCATTAGATATCCAAACAAGGGAGGATGCATCCCTTCATTTCTCTTCTCTTCTCTTCCTTTCCCTCCATTTCTCTCTATTTAAACATAGCATTAGTATGTATAACTTGTATGAAGTAATAGAAACCCATAAAATATGTGACAAGTTTAAAATGTGTTAAAAGGAGTTATTTTTTTGAATATATGGAACATATAGGAAAGAATAAAACTAGCCGAATATATATGGCCTTTATAGTTGATTGTACGATACTTGAACCTCAAAACTTAGAAATTTAGGGCTTGTAAGGTCTCGTTCACTTCACCTTATTTTTGCTGAACCGAAATTAATTTTACTGAACTGAAACTATTTTTGCTAAACATAATTATTTTTACTGAACTAAATTAATTTTGCTGAATTAAAATTATTAATACTGATTCTCTATTATATTTCTTCTTTAGAGTTATTGATTTCTAATGAACTGAAATTTTTTACTAAACTGAACTTATTTTTATTAAATTGAAATTATTTTTACTAAATGTTTTTTTTTAAGGGGAACTGAACAGAACCTAACTTGTCTGAAGTAATAGAAACACATACATTAATAACCAAATGTGATATGTTTATAATGATATTTAATTAATTTTCTTAAATATATGGAAGATATATAGGTAAGAAACTAGTCAAATATGGTCCTTTTAGCTCATTTTAGTCTATACTTGAACATTAAACCTTAGAAATTTAGGATTAATAGCTTGTTCAAAGTAATAAAAAAACATCACAAATAACGACATGGTAATAGTGTTACTTCATAATTTCCTTGAAAATATGGAAGTTATATAAGAAACTAGCAAAATATGGCCTTTTTAGCACATTTTAGACTAATTTAACGTTAAACCTTAGAAATTAAAATTATGATTAATAACTTGTTTGAAGTAATAGAAACTCATAAATAAACCATATGTGATGTTTAAAGTGTTATTTATTCATTTGCTTGAAAATATGGAAGATGGGAAAGACACTAGCCAAGATTGACCTTTTAGCTCATTTAATTTTAGGCGACTTAAACCTCAAAGCATAGAAAGTTAGGGATTAATAACTTGTTTGAAGTGATACATAGAAACTAATAAAATCATGCGTGACATGTTTTAACCGGTAATTTATTCATTTGCTTGAAAATATGGAAGATTTAGGCTACTTTAGCCTCAAACCTAAGAAATATAGGATTAATAACTTGTTTCAAGTAATAGTAACTCATAAATAACATTAATACTTGACTTGTTTAAAATGTTGTTTCAATCATTTGCTTTAATTTAGAATATAAGGGGTTGGGTTAAAGTGATCATCTATACTACAACACCCCTTACAGGCTTGGAGACGTTCGTCGCAACCGTACATGTCATCCATTGTTTCTTACGTTGGGGCAATAGCAATGAAATAGCACAAACAACCAAGCAATGAACACATGATATTTACGTGGAAAACCCCTTCAAAGAGAACAGTAAAAACCACATGACAATTAGGCCGGAGTTTACCCAATGCTCATTTGCTCTTATTATGATAAAAAAATGTTGCACAAACACAATTCCAAGTCTTAAAAGCGAAAACTCAATTTACCCAATAACAACAATTATAAGAGCTAAACTACGAAGGAAGAAATTTAGAAAATGTCACCGGAAAATAGTGTTCTGTCCAGCAGCTGTAACTCACAACTTTAGCAGCAAACAACAATCATACCATTGATGAAGATGAAACCTTGATGTCTCGGACAAGCTGATTCCATAGAGTAGCTCACTAAAAAACGTGAATGAGCTACTCTTTAAAAACCCTCTGTATATCTCTCTCTCTCACTAATTTTCCTTCCCCTCAATCTCACTCTATTGTCCACAAGAGAGGTTATCAAAGAATTTTGTTGGCTTGTTGCGCATCTATTTTGACAAGAAAAGGTATCACAAAAGCCAAAGTGGAGCTTCTTAAAAAAGTTTTAAATTTGAGCATAAGTTATACTACTTGCCCCAAAAGAAGATCACCAAATTAAATAGGCTTCTCCACATAGAAAGGGACCCATAGACCAACACCATTTTCCCGACTTAATTAAATCTTTCCTCCATGTCTCAAACCACTCTCCTTTCACGCTATCACTCATTCACTCTATGCCAAAACTCAAGAGTCATGACTTGGGTTTTTTCTTAAAAAGAAATAAATCCTAATGACTTGGGTTCTGTTAAGACTTGTTTTTGCTGAATTGGGTATCCCTCATACTTACTCTTGGACCACTTGTTATCAGCATTTACTAAGTTGGGTCAAGTTCATTATGCCTGCCAACTGCTTGATGAAATGCCTCAGCGTAATGTAGCGCCTTCGAATGCTGTAATTGCTGCTTTTTCTGAAATGGGGTATGATGATATTGCATTTGATTCGTTTAGGAAAATGCATATGTTGGGTGTGAGCCATGACAATTTCACTTTTGCTTGCGTTCTTAGCTTGTGTCCTGTTGTCGAATTATATGGCTTTGGGAGGCAAGTGCATTCGTTGATCAGTAACAGCAGATTTTTGGGTTGGAGCTTAGTGATAAACTCATTGCTTACAATGCATTTTGACCCTGGAAATTCCATTGGTGCTTACAAGGATTTGAAGATACAGATGAGATGGTACGCAATGCGATTCGCGGTGTGATTATGTATAAAGTACTTATACATTGGTTAGCAAGTCTTGAGAAGAAGGAACAGGCCTTGGTGATATATTCCAAGAAATGTTAGAGGCACGGTTAAGAGCTACTGAATTAACTTTTGTTAGTCTTATGAGCTTCAATTTGATTCTCAACATGTGCTTTCCGTGACATGCTCAGGCTGTAAGGGCAGGCTATGAATTTTGCATAGCTATTAGCAATGCTGCTATGGCCATGAATGCCAAGTACGGGCTGTTAGATTATGTAAAAAAAAAATGCATTTGAGAAATAGGAAATGGAGGAAAATGTTGTTTTATGGAACACTATGATAGCCGGATGCAATCATAACAATGATATGCAATTAGCAATCTTAGCTTACACAGGGATTCAGAGGATTAGGTTTGTTCCAGACGAGTATACTATCGTAGCACTCTTAGCTAGCTTAGATAGATTAGTATTTGTCCAGATGATCTATGCCCGTGTGCTAAAAATGGGTTCAGTCTAACAAGTGAAGTTATTAATGCTTTGGTGTCTGCATGCTCTAAGCAAGGTGACATTAATCAGGACTGTCAAAAATTTTGCTGCATGCACTCTAAAAGTCTGATTACTTGGAATGCAATTATTTCGGGGTTCTTGTGAAATGGATACCCTGACCATTGCTCTCGAACTGTTTCTTCAGCTGCACAAGTCAAAATCAGACCAGATGTATACACTCTAACTATTGTATTGAGCATGTGTTCTAGTATTTCAGCCTTAAGTCATTCCAGTATTCCATTGCTACATTCGAAGATATGTATTTCTAAACGAGACCTTCTTAGGGGTTAGGAAATGGCCTCGATCATCACATTGTATGCAAAATGTGGGGTTCTGGATTGGTCTGTTATGATAATTATACATGAGTAAAAGGAACATTGTGAGTTGGAATGCCATCATCTCTGCATTAGCACAATATGGAGGAGGGAAACAAGCTGTCAGCTACTTCACATTGATGCATAATGAGATTGGGCTTAAGCCTGATCAAGGCACCTTTACTGCTGTTTGGTCTAATTGTTGCTGTACTGGTATAATTTACTATGGCATTTACATATTTAATGCAATTATCGATGATTATGTGTTGCAAACCTGGAGTAGATCACTTTTCTTGCATTGTAGACCTTACAGAGTGAACTAGATGACGAGATGGAGAGACTAATTGAGTGCGAGGATTACAAGGTTAATCACAATATTTGGTGGACTCTGTTTCATGCATGTGCAGTCTTACAGAAATGTAAAGTTGGGAAGGAATGTTGCTGGGTTGATTCTTCGAATTGTGGAAAACAACCCAGCAGTTTATGTATTGCTGTCATACGTTGATGCAAATGCTGGACAATGGGAAGATGCAGCTCAAGTTAGGGAATTGATAACAATACTTGAGAGTTATAAAGCAACCTGGGTG